ATAAGTTACTAAGTTATGGAACTGCTAATATTTTATATACCAATTTTGAGCTCGTTCTATCTGACTATACTGTTCATTTTTCAATTGGAACACTTCCTCCTGTCTGTCAAAGTCTAGAATACAACACACTCAACAGGCCATTTTGCACGAGTTTCTTGTTTTCCCTCAAATTTTGCCGAAGAAGTGTGGGAGGAAGAATGCAATCGCTGAACAGTAAAATAGGCAAGTAGATGGGCTCACCGATCTGCGCTAAAAAAATATGGCCGGGTTCACTTCATTTCGGTAACGATCGTTCATAATGAAAGACAATATGTTGAAAATTATGATGGTGGATAGGTTTGTTAGTTTTTGACAGTACTGAAGAAAAAATTGAAAATGGCCGGCCTTCTGTAATCTAGAGTTTGCGTAGAAAAACGGCCATCTCGAGGCAGCCAAGTCCCACAACAGCTATCTCATAGCATCTCTGTCTTCATATTTGCAGTGGATGGGTCTCTCCAGTTAGCCGTCGGTTCCCAACATTTTCGGCCCTGTTGGGCCTGTTCAAAAATTGGCAGGGAGACGGGGACCACGGCCACCCAATTTCGTGATGAAATTGGCCGCCCGTGGTGTGGGACCAAGCCATAGTGGTCCAGTGCGTCCGTCTACTGCGATGCAACACGCTCACAGCGGGACGCACTTTTTTGTAATGAAGTGTCTCGGATAGCTGTCCAACAGGACTGTGCACTCTGTTGAGCGAAGCACCCGACACTCCTACCGCCGTTCCCTGGAAGCGGCTGATGCTCGCTCTTTCAGCGGCAAGCGTGCAGCCGACTGAAGCCAGCGTCGTACACTCAGCGGGCTGTTGGGACAGAATTGACATGAGGACTGAGGGACATTGCTTGATGTGAAGTCGAGACCGCGCAGAGGGCATTCCTATGACACTAAACTTCGATACGATCGTCACGTTTTTTTTGTGTGCTGAGTCAGAGGACCAAAGAAGAGCGTGGGATGCGGTTATCTTTCTGAATGGAAGTAGGGTGAGTGGCGCACCCCCATAGAGGCATTGATCGATGCTGGATGCTGCACCTTTTTGCCCTGAAGGCCGATTTTACGATGAAGAGGTGGCTTATTGGAAATAAGGATAGACGTGGTCAGTGGAGCAGGAATGAAGAAGAATCTATAGGAAACGGTCCGAAACCCGAGAAAGGAGACCCGCCCTTGCCCGTTGCTTTCCGCATTGATGTGACACTCATCGTTGGTGCCCACTTCAAGCTAACGTTCTCTCTTTTATCTAATCACTCGCCGCGAATAGACCTGCAGCGAGTGGTTAGATAGTCGGTGGGCGTTCCGAGCCAACAGCGCCGAAGGGAGAGCCAGGCAAGACCGTCGAGGGCATATCCTTCGAAGCGAATTGTGTGTGGGTCCAGACTCTTGAAGGCGTCCGCCTATCTCCCCACTTGGTACTTCTTCGACCTTCGTTCTTATCGTAGAATCCTCCTTTAAGTTTTATTAGTTGTGATAATCAAAGTGGATTCCAGTGCACTGGCTTTTACTTTCCCTAGCTTTCACGTTCCGTAGCTTTAACGTGTTTTCGAATTTTTGAAATAATTTTATTGTGGAATGTGTGGCTTGCTCTAAAAGAGAATGTGGTCGATGAGAAGGGCTTGGCAATTTTCAAGAGCTTCTACATAGACTTAGCTCTTGTGAAAGAATGATAGAAGAATGATTTTGTGTAGAGTGAAAAATTAAATTTGAAGGAGATGACCACGTTATCTTCCCAGCTCATAGTTTCACCAAGCTCGTGGCCTTGAGCAAAGGGGTAACTAGATTCGAGAACAAAAATTACTTTCACTCGTTAAGGACTGAACAGGACTCTGATTGAGCAGATGGTGAGACTTATTTTCTGAAAACAAAACCACCTTTTCCGTGCACATTCGAGTTGTTAG